TGTGTGTGTGTGTGTGTGTGTGTGTGTGTGTGTGTGTGTGTGTGTGTGTTTAAACCCTCCCTTTAATAACACATGTTTAAAAAAAATGCTGCTAGACAAAACAAAATTACCCGCTGAGCGGGGGCCCAGTTCTCTCCCAAGCTTTGTTGCGTCCTTATGCACTAACGTCTGAAGTAATTATAAAAGGCCTCAGCCCTGAATAAAACAGCCTCTGGTATTCTCCACATTAAACAGGGAAGAAGGAAAAAGAGAATCATTTACATTCAAGGAGGAGTTGGCTGCTTTACTGAAATAATGAATCATTTGAGATTTCAGATGAGCCCTGCCTCAGTGTTCTACTTTTATCTGATGTGACCCAGCTGCGAAGGGCAATTTTCTGATGAGTTTATTTTTTCTGTCTGGGATTCTACCCTATTTTAGCCAAAGGAAAATGCAAGTATCAAAGATGTCATTTGGGAAGAGAACTGTTCTTGCTGTTTTGAGTCCTCGGGAACCACAGAAATGCTACCATGGGAAATTTAGTATTTGAGGCCCAAGCTCCATTCCTGAGTTAAGGACAGGAGAAAAGACAGGCTCAAGAAGAGACTTGAAACTTGACCAGAGCCCTGAGGGAATTGTACTTGAACAGCTTTGATAGAATATGAGGGAGATAAAGGAGAGGCTAGGGCTCTGTTTACTGGATACAAAGGTACCTACCTTCCAGATGGAAAGACCTCCAGAGAAAATAAGAAAATTCCCTTCTCTGAATGATTCCCGGCAGTGGAAAGATCCAGAACTTTGCTGACCTTGGTTAAATCTAGGCCCATTTGGGCCTTGGCTTGTAACAAGCAGGAATCACAGAACTTGGCAATACCCTGTCCCTATATTTGCTTTAGCATGGTCAGGTGGACACCATCAAATCAGGTGCAGACATGAGCCCTTTTTCAGGTAATAAATAAAAATATTATATTTATGATCTCCTTGCTATGTCTGGGGCTTTGCTACATGCTTTGCTTCCATGATTTCATTTAGTCTTAGTAATAACTCCCTATGTTTCAGACTGGAAAACTAATGCTCCATGCAGTTAAGTAACTTGCCAAGATCATATAACTCATAGGTGGCATCATCCAGTTTTGAATTCAGATTTCTTTAACTCCAAAGCATTCTCATCCTCTTCTCTGAGTGCTGGGATTCTCAGAATGAGGAGATCACACTTTTCCATATAAGCCAGGAGCTGCTTAGGAAGTATATTCAGTTATTGCGTGGCTGTTGGGATTTGAAGGAAGAAACTGATCCCCTAACCAGCTTTCCATAAAAATGTTAAACCTAATGAAGAAGCATGGAATTGATTGAATGCCTCACCATCCTGGATGTTTATCAAGTAAGCTAAATGGATTATTGAAAACCATCCATGGGTGGCTGGCTCTCTGCGGAATGTTAGAGATCTTCTAGTCAATTTCTCGATTTTTACAGACGAATCTCAGATGGTTAAGTGATGTGGGCCAAGGTCATGTGGCTAGTAAGGCTGAATTTGTTCTCAAATTCAAAGGCTATTTTTGAAATTGTCTCAGCTTGGTATCTGGCACAGTGGCTTCTCATTATTCAAGGATTACTTGCTTACATTTATTTGAGACTTCCAAATCAATACTTGTGGCACTTCTATGATCATTCCCAGACATGACAAGAATGGGGAAAAAGTTTGAGTTGCCTGATACACAAGTTTCCAGGTTGAACAAGGCGACACGACTTTCTTTTCTTTTTTTTTTTTTTAAAGATTTTATTTATTTATTTGGCAGAGAGATACAGAGAGAGAACAAGTAGGCAGAGAGGCAGGCAGAGGGAGAGAGAGAAGCAGGCTCCCCGCTGAGCAGGGAGCCCGATACAGGACTCGATCCCAGGACCCTGGGATTATGACCTGAGCCGAAGGCAGCCGCTTAACCGACCGAGCCACCCAGGTGCCCCGCGACACCACTTTCTTATTCCAGCTCTCATCTGTAAACAACTGTTCTTTTTGAGATCTATTTAGATTAGATCCACATTTGCCAATTTTTTGTACTTTTTATTGGCAATTTTGCTGTTTAAGTTGGCCCCGCAGCATGGTGGTGAAGTGCTGTGTGGGGTTCCTAAGTGCAAGAAGGCTGGGATGTGCCTTATGGAGAAAATACATGTGTGTTAGGTAAGCCTCATTCAGGCATGAGTTATAGTGCTGTTGAGTTCAATGTTGATGACTCAACCATATGTACTAAATAAGATTTCTTTATATAAAGCTCACACAAAACAAGATTAATATTGTCATTTGACTAAAATGTGACCAGAAGCTCATGGGACCCAAGTCCTGGTTTCCTTTTGGACAAATGGTTCAGTGTTCAGATGACTGTATGTAGCATAACTACCGTATATAATGAGAATTGAATGTTTTGAATGTATTCCACTCTCTGCTGGTTTCCCTCCTTCCTTTCTGAGGCTTCTTCTCAGTTCTCCCTGGCCTGTTCATCCCACCCCAGAAGTTGTAATGTCTTTCAGGACTCAACTTTGGCCCTCTTCCTTGCCTTCTGCCACCCTCCATGACAATAGCCCCCACATTCAGATCTCTGGCACTTTCCCATTCATTATTCCACAAGGGGAATAAAGCACAAACTCATGCATCATGAGTCATAGAATCACAGGATATTGATCAGGTGATAAGATATATCTATTAAGTTCCAGAGCCTACCCCAAGAGCAAGACTAACAGACACCATGTCCTCTGGGGGAACACTGGGAAAGACAATGACAAAAGTAACAATAAATACAATAGGTATTACCAAAGTCAAAACTCAGGTGTCATGAGGCCATGTCATTAGGAGTTTAAATGTAGACTGAACAAATGGGTCAGCCAGATGTAAAGTTTAGGCTGAGAATTAAAGATTGAGTTGGAATTTATAGCCAAAGAGAATGGGGGTAGTGAATGAAAAGGTGGGTCTGGTTAGCTATGGGGCTTTTGTTTTGAGATGTGAATATTTGGAGTCAGAGTGAATTACTATAGAAAATAAAGAAGCAGCTAAACCTCACCACTGCTAGCTACCCTCTTCTCTGCCCATCTGCTATATAATGCTCTGACTCCCCAGCCCAAGAACATTTAATAAGTCTTAAAACATCAGTTTGAAGAGGCACTGACAAATTACAATTGTATTTTGGGACACCAAATTATTTGTCTTGTAATAATTACATGAATGGGAGGACCTGGAGTAAAACAATACACCAAGGAGAGGGAAGGCTATGCCAGGTGCTGGGGTATCTCGAATGCCATATTTGGTTGACAGAATAATTCAGAAAAAATGTCTTCTACTTAAAACTTCTTTTTTTGAAGAGGAATCCTAACTGGCTTAACCAGAAATCTCCTTTTTATTTCAAACCAAACTGACACTCTTCCTAAAATATCTTAGTTTATTTTACTTAATGACATCATGACTTGGTAAAAATAATTGATAATTTCTTCAAAGACCAAGGGTCTTATAGAACCTCAGGTCTCTTGATGGAAATAGAAGATGGAATAAAATGTGCTGTGTTTAATTCCTAAGTAGACCATGGAAGTTAGTGTTTATGTGTGTGTGAGAGACAGAAAATTAATTCTGAAATATTTACTATATCCAGGCAACACTTCAGATATGATCTATTTGATTACCATTACAACATTACAAGATAGATTTGATTGTCCTTCCTTATATAGAATGTACATACGGCCCAGAAAGTGGCAATAACTCATTCAGGGTCCCACACACTTCCCTCCCTCCCTCCCTCTCTCTGACTCTAGAGTCCTCTACGTTGGCCTTAGTCTCTGGCATTGGTCTCATCTCTCTTGGAGGTGAGCCCAGTGCTACCAGGCTGAAACCCCAACTCAATCAGAGGTTCTATCTCTTTCCAACAGAATCCACACAGGTTTTCTCATTGAGGCTCATTGGCTCTGATTAGGACATGGGCCCATCTCTCAGCCAGTCTCTATGACCAGGGAAATGAGACAGTCTAATTAGCTAGACCTGGTCACATGCCCAGGTGGGAGTGGTGGAGTCTCCTCCCACCTGAGCCTCAGACTGAGAGGGGAGGAGGGTGATTTACTGAAGGAATGAGGAAGGGATATTGAACCCCTAGAACAGCAAATATCAACCAGGGGGACATCTTTGTACCCAGGATGTTACAAAATAGCAAATACCTTTCTTTTTAAATAAGAATCAGTTATAATGATAATTATCCATTACCCAATGGTATTATTGGTCAGCACCAATATTAGGTACTTTATATATAGTATTTCACCTAATTTTCTTCTATACCCTTCAAATAGTTACTTATTAACCCATCTAATAACAGCACAGACTAGGCCTAGAGAGGTTTATTAAATTTCCAGAGACTATCCAGCAGCTAGGAACTGGCAGAGCCAAGTAGTGAACCCATCTCTGTCCATGATCAGAGCCTGCTTTTTCCTTCCAGCAGCTTTTGGCCTTAAAATAATGGTGCATCCTCAGGCAGGGGCTTACCTGATTTTCTTTTCACAATCCCTAATGGTCATTACAGAGTCTTCTGAGGTTGTCCTACTTTCAATTCCTAAGCAAAAATCTGTCATTTTTCCCTAATCCCTGTCCACCTTTCTGGGGAACATACAGTGTCTTTGCTTTAATGTCCTTGGATGAGCTACAACTTTGAAAGGGCAGGAAAAACCTACTTTGCAGCCTGAAGATGATCCATAATTTCGAAGTAAACAGTGTTGCCTTGTTCCCAGACACTGTGTACCCTGTTGGGAAATAGGCCTGCAGTGCAAAGAACAGTGACTGGTTTTTAAGGTCAGGCTTTGTTTGATTTTCATTTGTTTTTACTGTTGAGAACACAGCTTATTCTTAGATGTTTTTCAAAAAGATCTTTCGAACTAATAAGTCTCAAGCTATACTATGTCCTCTGGGAGCTTATTGGAATCCAGATGCCTTGGCTTTCCTGTCCCAAAAGATTCAGGATCTGTGGGGCAAGGTCCAACACATGTACTTTAACCAGTTCCCTGTAGTTCTGTTGTGTCACAGCAGAAGATGTTGCATAAGTGGATCTTATACCTAGCCTGCATTTAAATACCGTTACAGCTTCCTAAGGTCAGAAATATCAAATCCAGCAAGTGCATGCCCACTAAAAGGGTCTCAAACTCATGGTCCACAAATTAGATCCACTTTATCCCACAGATATAATTACATTAGTTGACACAATACAACACATGATATTGCTTTACTTGAACTTGAATGCCTTTGTTTAGAAAGAGGATGCATTCATCAGTTGTCTTGGCTCTCACCCTCTTATTGTCCATACCTGCTACTTTACCCATTTATGTTACCTGCTGGGTCCCTGAAGTTAAGTGAACTTCCACCCTAGGTAAATAATTGGAGAGATAGGGGAACAGAAAGGCCAAGTGATTTTCCAAAGTGAGAACAAATTTTTGGTGTGGTAGGTGAGTTGAGAGCTTGTATCATTGCTTAACCAAATTACATGAATGTTTCCTATATCATGAAATAGAGTTTTCCTCTTTCAAATAACTTATGAAATTCCCTGCAGTCCAGGTGACAGCAGCTCAGAGACTCTGCATCTGTCTCTCTCTGCTAATGCTCCTTCTTCCTCTTCTTTACACCTGCCTTGCTGGACACAAATATTTCACGCCTGTATTCTAGTGGTCAGCCCATACCTCAAGTGGAATACACGGAGGAAGAAAAGAATACATGGGGGATGGTATTCAGGACCCTGAAGTCCTTGTATAAAACCCATGCTTGCTACGAGCACAATCACATCTTCCCACTTCTGGAAAAGTACTGTGGCTTCCGCGAAGATAACATTCCCCAGCTGGAAGAGGTTTCTCAATTTCTGCAGAGTAAGTCCACTTCAGGGACTAAAGGGGAGGAGGGGGAGGGAAGGGAAAGGGAAGAAAGTAAATTGAGGCTAGTGTGAGTGTGTTTGTGGTAATGCATGCAGGTTGAGTCTCCGAAAAACATTTCACTGCTGTGTTCCGTCTCACGACTAGCTTCCACTGTTCGTCCCACTGTCATCCAAGACAAGGCATCATGTATGGATTTTGCCATATCCATGTCTCTGAAAAACACTTTTTCCCATACTCAAAGCCCCTGGTGCCCAGGCAAGGCTCTCCTTGTAGTTCCTGCTGTGTTGTGAGATGGCTGCAGTGTGCATTTGTATAAGAAATGTGCTCTTTGTGACAATGCCAAGAGCCCTGAGCTCTAAGTCTGTGCATCCAACTGGTATGAATCTTACTTTGACCCTCTCTATTTGGGGGAAACTGCCTCCATTTAGTCATCTGTCAAATAGACTATCTCTTAGGGAAATTGTGGGAATGAAATAAGACATTGCAAGTGAAAACACCCAGCATGGTGCTACATATACAATAGGTGCTCAGTGAATTGGGGTTGAATTGGAATCTGAGTAACTCTGTGGGGAAATACATTATTGGGATGACTGGCTTCTGCACATCATTTCCAAGTGAGATAAGTATTTTCCTTTCTGCCAGGAGGCATCAATTCAGCAAAACCAAAATAAAACTATCAGCTAACACATATTAAACACTTAGTATGTGCCAGGTAGAATGAGAGAAAGTAGGAAGACAGATCACAGGTTTATAGAAATGAAGAAGTTTCTATGCCTCTGAGCTATATGGAGATGGTATGGTCGGCTCTGGGGAAGGAGCCAGGGAAATTATGTGGCAAGGAGAAAAATGGTAGCTGGGTTAGACTGGGGATGGGTTAGATGACCTTTCAGGTCCCTTCTATTTGGACAGTCTCTATGTATCAGATAAAGAGGGGAATGAGAGGCCAAGTGGAGTCAATTTCAGCCTGAAGTTCCAGGGAACACAGGCACAGGGGCAAGGAGGTCCTAAAGACATTCTCTGGCTAATTATTCATGTTTCCATGGCCAATAGTGAGATAATAAAATGGTAATACTAGCAGCTGGAGCGTTATAGAGAAGTAACTAAGGAATAGACTTTGAAGACAGACTGATTGTAGTTGTGACCTTGGACAAGAACTTTAACTTCTCTGTGTCTCAGCTTCCCCATCTGTAAAGTGGAAATAATATGAGCATCTACCTCATAGGGTTATTAGGAGAACTAGTTAGTATTTATAAAGCATGTAGAACAGTGTCTGACATATGGTGGGCAGTATATAGTGTTAGCTATCATCATCATTGTCATCATCATCATTATCACTGTGATTATTATTCTCCTTCCAAGTTTGAAACAAATTGAGAGCCAGAAATAGGAACCAGAGAGAGGATCAAAAAATCAACTTTATTGCTGATAAAAGCTACTTGGAGAATGTGGTGTGGCTGTACAAACAAAATGGACTTTCTAATATTTCACCTCTGAATTATGTAAACTTTTTTTACCAGTTCACTGGTGAAGTGTATATTCTATTGCATGGCCCAGAGCAGACCAGAATGTGCTCCTCTGTGGGCAGTCAGGAGAGAAGGACCAAAGGGATCAAATGAGAATATTCATTTTCTCTTCCCAAATGCTCCAATCAGAGAAGTCCTTGCTCTTTCTGTGGCGTAGTGTGTGAAGGACAGTAGAGAAGCTGGAAGTGTTCCTCTTATACTCTTTCCTCTGGAAGTGGAATGAAAACCCTCCCCACTCTAGAGACATGAGAAACAAGGAATGAATGTTTCATCCTAATAAACAATAATGAAAGCTAAATTTATTATATACTCCAATGTGCTAGGCTCTGTGCGAAGTACTTTATATTTATTAGCTCATTTGATTCTTGGAATAACCCTAGTGAATATCTATCCACATTTTGCAGAGGAGGAAATGAGGCTCAGAGAAATGAAGTTACTTGATCCAAATCACCCAGGTATAAGGTGTAGAGGCAGAGATGTGAAGCCAAGTCTACTTGGTACCAATACCCATGCTGCTAGATGGTTGGGAGTATTGCTTTCCTACCTAACAGTCTTCAGGCACCTCTGGCTCTGCCATGATAGGCTTTGAGTTTTCTTTCTCTGCTTTGCAGCTTGCACTGGATTCCGCCTCCGACCTGTGGCTGGCCTACTTTCCTCTCGGGATTTCTTGGGTGGCCTGGCCTTCCGAGTTTTCCACTGCACTCAGTACATCAGACATGGGTCCAAACCCATGTATACCCCTGAACCGTGAGTATTCTTCTCCTGCTACCAGTATCCAACCACAGTGAATGCCATTGCTCACTGCTCCAGGAATGAGGTTTGGGTTCATGGAAGGCTGATCCACAGGACTAGTTTTCTGGATGGTTTGATGGTAGCACAAAGAGAGAGATCATCTCTCCAGGGTATTTTCTCTGTCCAGTAGACCATACTGATTGGAAATTTGGGCATCTTGTGAGCCACACATTCAGATCTCCCCTGGCCATGGGAGTCAAGCTCCAAAGGGTTTATAAGAGTCAGAACTATGATGTTCCAAATGCGAACAGGAACAACTGGTGGCCAAAGTAACTCAATAACTTCAGAATACACATCTAAATGATTATAATCTTCTTATGTCTAGATGCAAGTTGTCTGCAGATAGAGAATGGCTGGCCACTGTGCCCCTTATTTTGGCATTTAGCCATCTTCTTAATCAAATAAGACTTATGCAATTTATAAAAAAAGTCAGTAGGATACCCAAAATGATATTTTTCCTGTCCACAAAGTTTATAACTACAAATCAGAAAAACCTATTCCTAATGAACTTGGCACATAATGTGTTAAATAAATGTAAATTTTCTTCTCTGACTATTGCCCCCCTCTAGAATAAGAAAAGAACAGCACTATTTTTTTTATTTAATTTTTATTTCTTCTGGGGAATACCTGAGCACATTGCATCTGCCCAAGATGTCAATACCAAGATGAAGACTTGGGATGGGAAATGTTCATGACCCACAGCTTGCTCAGGTGTATAGGAAGAAGTCCATAGGAATTTGGCTCTTCTGTTCTGCACCCCACTGAGCATACACTTAAGACCCCCTGGCTTTTGCTCTGACTTGCTCCTTACTTTTCTTTCCCCTTCTTCCTTTTCTTTTGTACCTTGCCTCATCTGATCGCAGACTTTACATACCACTTATGCTTGGGAATGAGGTCTTAAATTGAATGGCTCACTTCCTTTCTACCGGCTCATTTCTCATATAGAAAGACTGAGTCTGATTTGGCTTAAACCCTCCTTACTTCCAAGCTCTGTGCTTTCTGTCTTTCAGTGACATCTGCCATGAGTTGTTGGGACACGTGCCCTTGTTTTCAGATCGCAGCTTTGCCCAGTTTTCCCAGGTGAGGAATGGATCCTTTTGGCCTATTAATTATACGATTGAGACCTAGATTGCTTAAGTGAATTGAATCTATGGAGGGACCCTTGTGTCCTAGGCAAGGTTAGAAACCAGATACAGTTCTGTGATCCCACCAGAGACGGGCATATGGTCCCATGGAGATGGCTAAATACCCATTCCAGGGATCACAGCATGGGGGTGGTGAATCACTCGTCCTCTGAATTATATATGTGCTGTTGAATTTGCTAATCTCAGTTGTCCTACCGGGTTTAGTTTAAGAGCCTTTTCATCCAAGAAAGCCTGCCTGATCCCCACATAAAAATAACCTTACCTTCTTCCAAGTTCTCCTGGCACCTTTCCCCTCCTCTTTAGGGCCTTGCCATTTCCTACCTTGTCAGGCAGTCATTTTTGTATATGCTTTATTTAAATAAGAAAATATTTGCTGAGAATCCGATTCCAATAGCCCAACTCATAGTTGGCAAGAAAACTGATGTGTCAAATGTCTTGCCATTATCATCAAAGCAACAGGCTAGCCTTGATTCCTGTATTACAGTGGTGAGTTTTTACATGAGAGAAAGAATCCTAGTAATTCCTTCAGAGCACTGAGAGGCTAAACCATGGTTGGGTAGCTGGGATCATGGGAAAGTTGAATGAAGCACCCACACAACCCCACCCTGCCACCAACCAGCTGTGTGACCTGTTTCCACAAATGAGAATCAATAGAAACCTTTGACTGCCAATCTTCTTCCTCATAGGGAAGGATAAAGATCAAATGGAATGAGTCATAAGCAAATACTGCAGCAAATATGAATTTCAGAGTAATGGGATTGTGTATGAATTTTATAAGCCTTTTCCCTCAGCTGGAAGAAATAAATACTTTCACTGTTGATTGAAGAGGTTACCACTTAATATCTGAAACAAACAAACAAACAAACAAACTGTTGCTTTTATGTGGGGTTTTGGGAACTGTGGTGTTTAGAGATTGTTGGACTTTTACAAGTGGAGTGTTTGGGGATTAGCTGAACTTTAACTCGGAAGTATCACCATTGGACTGAGGCTATTGTTGACTGGCTAACTTTCAGGAGCATGGTTCCTTCTGTCAAGATGTCATTAATTGCTTGAGACAGCTTTAAAACTGGGATTTGTTCCTATGGCCAAAGAATTATCAGTGATTTCCTTAGAGAATAGGAACTTTTTATTCTCACTACCAGAAGCTATTTTGCTTGGTCAGAGGCTAAGTCACAATCCTCCTTAAGCCATTTCCATTTGGGGGAGACCCCCAGAGGAGGGTACAATTACCTGAGTCAACAGATGGATGCTACTGGGCCATCAGTGTCACACAGCTCCAACTTACACCTGGACAGTCCCAAGGCAGGGTGTCATTTTGAAAGTTCCCTGAGCACATTCTTTTTGGATCTAAAAGGAGGACTTCCTTCCCACTAGAGTGCAAGATGGGATGGGGATGAAACACAGAGAAATCTTGGGACCCCTTGTTTTAGGTAAGCTTTGGGCTCACAAAGAATGGTGACCATGAGAACAGAGCACTATTTCAATGTCTTCTGTTAGAGTATGGCATGCCTGGATAGGATGGCTGGAACAGAGATGGGGGCAGGGGCAAGAGAGGAGAGCCAAGCTGTTTGAATTTTGTTCACTCTAACTCAGCATTTTCTCAGTATATAATATGAGCCAGGCTCTGAGTTTGGCCCAGAGAGTGATACAGATATGAAGACCATGTAGTCTCTTGCTTCAAAGTAAGCCCACTCCTTAGTCCTTCTCTGTCTACGCCAATTACTTTGATTATCTCACCCAAACTCACAGTGTTAAATATCATCTCTATCCTGCTGACAAACACATTAATATCTTCAGCCCAGACCTTTGTTCCCAAACTCAGACTTATGTATCCAAGCACCTACTCAATCTCTCCACTTGGATGTCTATTACATATCTGTATTCATCCTGTCCAAAACTGAATTCCTGATCTTCCCATTCAAGCCTTCTCCAACCACAGCCCTCCCTATGGTAACCATAGGTATGGTATGGTTCATGGTAACTCCAGCCTTTCGGTTGCTCAAACCAAAAACACTTAGGGGACATTATTGGCTTCTTTTTCAAATACACGTAACCAATCTGTCTAAAAGTTGTATGTGTTTTCCCTTCAAAATATGTGTAGAATCTGACCATTGTCCATCACATCAACTGCTACCAAGCTGGTCTCAGCCACTATTGTTTCTCACCCTGGGGACTGTGGTAGCCTCCTAACTGGTCTATCTGCCTCTACTCTCGATCCCCTACGGTCTGTTCTCACGTAGCGGCCAGAGTAAATCTTGGATGATATAAATTAGGCCTTACCACTTCTTTGCTCAAAACCTTGCAGTGGCTCCCATTTCACTGAAAGGAAAATCGTAAACCTAAAATAGCCAAAAAATGTTCTATATGACTGAGCTCCAGATCCCTCTTTGGTACCACCTGCCACTCTCCCCACTCTTATTCTATTCTAGCCATACTGGTCTCTCCCTGTTATTTGAACCTGCTGACATTTCTCCTCCTTAGAGAGCTTTATCACTGGCTATACATGTGGCTTATACGATGATCTTCCCTCACACGTCAGCAGAGCCAACAACCTCACTTCTATCAAGTCTTTGGTCAAATATCACCTTCTCAATGATGCCTGCTCTGAAACCCTATTCAAAATTGCAGCCCCCCCCACCCGTTCTCCTGGCACTCCCACTTCCCCTTGTCCCTTTCTTCGTTTGTTTCTTCTTTCCAAATAACTTATACTATATACCTTTTATATATATACTATATATATATATACCTAATATATATAGGTATATATATACCTAATAAGCATAAGTATATGCTTATTATTTATTGTCTGCCTTAAATGTAAACACCATGATGTCCAGGACCTTTCTTGCTTTTGTATACTGCCAATTATATAGAAGGCATTCAATAAACATTTTGGAGTGAATAAATGTATATAGTAGGGAAAGCAAATATATTTATTTGTGTATATGCACTGTCTGATACAAAGCAGGCTGGAGCAAATGTTGTAAAAGGGACAAAGACAAAGAGACCACTAGGGGAATTCTGTAATTGGAGCTGTGATGAGAAGTGGTCCATAGCATTTCAGACTCTCTAGCTAGTATTTACCTGGATGGATGTCAAGCATTTCTCAGCAATTCTCCAGTGGTATCTTCATGATACATGATTAAGACACTCATCTTATATTCCAGGAATGTTCTGCTTGAGCTATGGGAGAATAATCACTGAGCTGGAATCAAGGAATGAAACTTTAGACACAACCTACTGCGTGACCTTGAGTAGTTCAGTTCCCTTCTCTGTGCCTCAGTTTTCTCATTTGTAAAGTAAATACAAAAGACCAAGTGATGAAGTAAGGTTTTCCTGCTCTAGAGATCTATGATTCTATGATGTGTGACTAGGGAAGACCTAACAGAATAATCAGGGTCTATCCGGGCCCTTCTGAAGGCATCTGGTCACCCATCACCTTCCTGTGGTCAAGTACAAGGTTGGAGCTGAGGGTGAAGTTTGAAGTTAGGCAGAGCCCAGCCATGCCAGTGACTCTGTTTCTCTACAATTACAGGAAATTGGCCTTGCCTCTCTGGGTGCACCTGATGAGTACATTGAGAAACTTGCCACAGTAAGTTCCCTCTGCCTCTGGTGGATAATGAGAGTGCAATAGGCTGTAGCCCTCAGATCTTCAAAGCTTTGATTCTCCCCTGAAATCCAGGTCATCTGGGGGAAAATATCAGAATATGCTGACTCACATTTACACAAGTGAAATTTCACATTTTGATTTTTCCTTAATGGTCTGATTTTGAAATCGGCTACATGCAAATGTTTACATGTAAACATTTGATTTGTTCAAGTATCTTAAACAGGAATAGGCTGTAATGATAGCCCTTGAGAACCTTTGGGCATAAAGTGTGTGTGGGGGGGAATAACCTGGATTCATGGCTTTTAAGAGGAAATATTTACACCCCTCCTTTGTGCTGGAGCCAGCATTAGGATCTTTCCTTTATTAGACACAAGATTATCAAACACTTATCAAACACTTCCCTCTCCCCAGTGAATGTGATGACACTCATCCATTGAATAATGGACTCAGCAACTCTTCACAGTAGGGGTTTTTTCCCTGCAGACTCCTTTCCAACTTGAGTTTATCCCTCCCCAGTGTCTGAGTCACATTTCTTACAATGTGTTCAGCCTGGAAGATGAAAAATAAAGCTTTGTAAGGAATTAAGGGACACAAATGAATGCAAATTTATCAATAAGCTGTATCAGTTTAGAAGTTTATGAAATCAGTTTATCAGAAGAGCAAAAACTTCCAGAAGTTTCTTTCTCACTGACCAGCTGCTCTGTGCCCCTGGGCAAGCGGCTTTTGCTTCCTCATCTCTAAAAATAGTTATATTAGTTTATATTCTGCCTACCTAAAAAGCATATCATAAGGGTTAACATCTGAAGAGTTAAGTGTGTGTGAACATAAATTTTTAAATGTCAGATTCTATATAGATGTAAGAAGCAGCTTTCAAAGAAATTGAAGATCTTGGAATCTCTCACTTGTAGGAAGAAAACAGACTAAGAACTCAGAGCATCATGTTACCTGCTATGACAATGATAAAAGTACTCATTGCCAACGTAACTTCTCAAAAAACAAAAACAAAAACCTTACTATTGTTACACTGGGCTGGGAACAGCTCTAGGTTCTTGCTCTGCCTTTGATTTGCTATGCAACTGGATGCATATTGCTTGACCTCTCTGGGCTGAAAACACATCATCTGTACGTGAGGAGGTCAGACTGATTAAGCTGACAGCCTTCCCAAGTTTCACATTCTCTAGTGCAATAAACAGACTTACCTCATAACCCATCCCTAATTCTCTAAGACCATGACTGTCTCCAGCATCTCACTGGGCCTAAGGTTTCTCTTGGCCCTGGTCAGTAGGGTTATGCCAGAATTCCAGGATCACCTTCCCCAGGCCAGGCATCTAGGACATGTTGGACTGGGAGCTGTTTAAAGAAAAGGACTTGGTTATTTGAGGAGGATAAGTGCAGTTGTTGGCAGTACATCAGAAACACCCCAAGTTTTAGCATGAATGGCAGGATGCCCTCAATGATTTTATCACTACCTGATCTCCTACCTCCCGTGACTGAGCTTGATGGGTTTGCATGGTAAGTCTGACAAACTAAAGGGAATATCTCATTATAGTTAATGCCACAGAGAAGAAAGCAAAAGGGGTTGAGGAATTCCGGTCACCTAGAGTTACCTTTTGGGGGTATCTTCTTGGGGCTTCCTCAGTACTCCCTCTCTGCTTCTTATCACATCTTACATTTGGCCAACTCTTGATTCAACCAGTGACTGGATAGAGTAAGACAGAACACAGAGAAGTGACTCCAGGTCATGGTAATTCAGAGAACAGACCTGTACAAATGCCCACCTGGGCAGTCCTGTCCTTAGCCCTGGGGCATCTGCTGCCTTTCCCTTCCTTGGGGTGTGCTCTCAACTTCACTTTCCATTCCAGATTTACTGGTTTACTGTGGAGTTTGGCCTCTGCAAACAAGGAGACTCCATAAAGGTGTATGGTGCTGGGCTCCTGTCATCTTTTGGTGAATTACAGGTATGACCCCATTAATACCCATTTTGAGATTCAAACCAGGGGTTAATCCTCAAATGATTGGTACCTTAGCAGCTCTGATTTGTTCATGACTTTGGGTGTTAGATGTAGAAACTGAACTGCAAGTACACAAGTCAACAAAACAGAAGGGCCTCCCAATCCCAAGGCTGAACTGTGCATACAGATGTATGCAAATCCATGTGGTTGGCTCTCACATCCTCTATTGATCATCTCACATGAAAATGGCTAGAGGGAATTACTCCTTTCTAGCCGGACTGTAGGTTTTAGATGGGCTGTGAGGGTAGGATCTAGTATATGTGAAATGATTTAGTTTACTGCATTTGCACTGGGGTGTGGAAGGAATCAGGATGAGATGGGAGAAGGTGCACAAACAGCCTATGGGAGGCAACAGGAATCACTGACCCAGACTTACCTGTGAAAACTTTCCACTTGCTGCCTGCAGTACTGCTTGTCTGGCAAGCCAAAGCTCCTCCCCCTGGAGCTGGAGAAGACAGCCATCCAGGAGTACACCGTCACAGAGTTCCAGCCCCTGTATTATGTGGCTGAGAGTTTTAATGATGCAAAGGAGAAAGTGAGGTGAGGTAGTGACCAAGGTGGGTCAAAAGATCTTGGGGCCTCCTGATTTGGTCTGATGCCGTTGATCTGTATGTGGTTGTCCAGGAGAGTGGACTCCAAGCTTATAGCAACAGTGTGCAGCAGACAGAGCCTCCCCACCCTTGTCCCTTTCCACTTTATGTTTGGGAGGGGTTCCTTAGCGGGACCCCATTTCACAGATTATTGTCTGGACCTGTTGACCCCTGCAGACAATTCTGCTACTGGATCCTTGTTTTAATGTAGCCACTGAGCCCAGACACTGAACTCTCTCCTGTGTACAGAGTAGCCACAGAAGGTCCCCAACAAACCATTCCTAGGATTCTTCTAACCTGGGGGAATTCCTTGTTCACTTTATTCTCCCAACACCTGCATAATTCACCCCCTCAACCCCTTCAAATCTTCACCCACATTTAACCTTCTCTGTGTGTCTTTCTCTAACTAACCAACTTACTTAATATCCCTACCCAGCCCCATCCCCACACTCCTTACCCCCTTCTGCAATTTATTTTTCTCTTAAGCACCTGCTAATGTTTAATATATTGTATGATTTAAGCTCCATTTGGGTAGGAATTTTTGTCCTTTTTGTTTTCCTGTTCTTTCTGCAGTCTCTGGAAAAGTGCCTGATACATAGTGAGCATGCAATAAGTAACAAGCAAGTGCGTCAATCTCAGAGACAATCCAGCAAAAGGCTGATGGAGATGGAAAGCTATCAGTACTCAGATTCTCAGCCCACTGAGCTGACAGCCCTGTCTATAATCCGCTTGAGGAATCTGCTCCCAGCAAGAGACAGGCCAGGCAGAGGGTCTACCTGGACATGGCTATCCTGATACCCAGTGTTTGTTACCACTCTTTGTTTTATATCTTATCCATGAGGGATGATAGACATAGATATATAGGTTTCTGGGATCCCATGAAGCTGGGTATGCCATCTTCCACTGTGTTGAGCTTAGGTGATAGAAGCTAAAATGCTTGCCCACAGGTCCACATGGTTTGGCCTAAAATGTCTCCCTTTCTCTTATCTCTCCAGGGCCTTCAAGTTCTTTCAGTTATTCATTTCTAGTTATTTCCTAAATCTCCTCTCCTTACTGGGAGCATAGCCTTCCTCTAGCCCCAAAAGTTTCCTCTCTGCCATTTCTGGGACCCTTTTGGGGTTATGGATTTCAGTGGTTTTGTGCAATATCTCTCCTGGGTAATAATAATCAGAAGAAGAAAGAAGAAGAAGAAAGAAGAGGAGAAAGAAGAAGAAGAAGGAGAAGGAGAAGGAGAAGGAAGAAGAAGATTAAATGCATAACACCTATTATGTACCAAATACCAAATGTTCTAAGTGTTTTTCATGTATTGATTCATTTAAACTTCAAATAAGACTATGAAGTTTGCAAGTGGGGTTCAGAAGCATAGAAAGGGTAAGAGACTCACCCAGGTTCATACAGCTGGTAAGTGGCTGACCCAGGGTTTGGACCCAGGCAGTGGTGCTCAAACCAGGATCTATCAAACCAGGATCACATTTAAATGGGCCTTCCTGGTGATGACTTTCTAACCCAGGAAGTGATCAGTCCCAGACCAGCAGAGAAGAGCTTTCCAGAACCCAGACTTTTTGGGCCTTTGAAATCCCACCCGCTCTGTCAGTACCCACAGCCCAGAGGAGACACCCACAAAAACTCCATCCTGCTGAGAGGTGACTCACAGAGTCAAAGGCAATGCTGAAAAACAGGGTTCAGAAAAGGAAGGGATTCTCTCAGAGCCTCCCAGCTAAGACAAACCAGCTTCAACCATTTTCAGTTTCAAGATTCAAGTTCTAGGCAGAAAGAAACAATGCTGAGTGGGTCATGTGCCCACTCCCTGGGTAGAGGAGCGGTGGGCCTGAGACTGACTGCTTAGATGAACCCCTCTCTTGGCATAGAGGCAGATTGCCCAAAGCAAAGATGAGGTAAACTATAGGAATAAGAGGGAAGAGGTGCAGAGCGAGCCAAATCACAGACATGCATTACATGCTTCATGTCACCAGTGGGATTGAGAAAGCTCTTTTCAGAGAAGTAGAGGTGGAGAGACATACTTAACCATTTTTTCTTCTTGAGTCCCCAGTCACTAATGAAAGAGAACAGCTAACACTCATGTAGCACTTACTCTATACTATAACAGCACTTGCTATGACCCTCTCAGGTAGTACTGCTCTGTTCCAGTTTTATAGAGGAATGAGGACACTGAGGTGCAGCCTGCAAGGGCTGTCATTGGCAGAGGCAAGGTTTGAGCCCAGTGCCTGGCTCTGGAACTTGGGTTTCCAGCCATGACGATCCACCACTCTTGCCAAACTTGGAGAGCCCACTAGTTTCCCTTAGAATTGTCTTCTCAGTATGGCAGATTCAACTCTCACCAGAAGCCAACTTAGAAATATCATTTGTGATGCCATTGCATTTTATAGGTTATTGGGGGATATCTTATTAGTTGCATTGCTTAATGTCCCTCATAAGGCCCTCCTGGTACATTCTTCCTAAACCCAGGAGTAATGAATGCATCAAGAAGGCAAAGAAGTGAGGAGCACAGGCCAGAGTCAGACTACCCAAAAAAGGTTCCAGCTGCACAATTTATTGCCAGTATGTCCTTGGTAGTCATTGAATCTTCCTAAACTTCAGTTTTCTCATCAGTAAAATAGGGATAGTAATAGTACCTTCCTTCTAAGGTTTTTATGAAGATTAAGTTAGGAATGATAGTTGTAAAAAGTATAGAACAATTAGGACCTCACATAGTTCTTGGTACATTGGAGGCACTCAATTCATGTTAAGTTTCATTAATAACATAGTGTTTTCTTCCATTCTTGAAAGCTATGTTTCCCTCCTTGTATTGATTTCCAAGCATCTTGGAGCTTATTTTTTCTATAGCATTCTTTGGCTAGATTTGTTTGCTCTTTCGATTTTATTTAATGGTAAGAATTTTAGCCTTAATGTATTCTGTGCTTTTATTGTAAGCTCTCTCTGTCATTTTGGAGGTGGGTAACTAAATAAGTATGTGCCTATGTGTGTTTGTATATATACCTAGACACATACAAAGCACACAAGGCTTCCCAAGAGGAGGATCTCACTAATTCCATTTCACTTCTCAGAGCCCCTGTTCTGGTGAGATTGAAGTGAAATGCTACTGAGAAATCTTTTAGAATTATTTTTCCCTGAATGGTGCCCTTTACTGAGCTTTGTGGATTTGGTTTCAGGAACTTTGCTGCTACAATCCCACGGCCCTTCTCAGTTTGTTATGACCCATACACTCAAAGGATTGAGGTCTTGGACAATACACAGCAACTTAAGATTTTGGCCGACTCCATCAATAGTAAGTAACTTACACCTCAGGAGGCCACTCTCTTTACCAGAAATAGAGAGTTGTATTTTCTTACCCTCACCATAGGAACAAAAAGAAATTTATTAAATATTGAATTAAAGAGAAAAGCATCTCCAGGCAAGCCATTTGTTTGTTGAGGGAGAAAAACATGGTAAAAAGGCCAGAATTGCTTGGAGTGTCTTTTCTTCTTTGACCTTCCTAGATTCCATGCTACCTCCCACCACCATACCAGCTTTCCACCCTGGCTTGTCACTGCCATGTTCCTTTCTCCTTTGCCTCTCCAGTCTGTTTCCTTTAAGTGCCCAGTGGCTATGGCTGTGCCTGGAATTCCAGCCCTTAAAGGACAGGTTCTAGCTACTTTATTGGCCATCTAGTAGCCCAACCATGGGCCTTCCATGCTTCCAGGACAATGAGGATATTATAACAGTTGTTCATTAAAAAATCACAGTATTATATTTCTCTTCACTGTGTTTTCTTTCCCGTGCTTCAAATTGCCCTCCAGCAACACTGACCAGATTTTACTTCCCATACTCCCGCCTGGCTTCTGGCCTTTGCTCATGCAGTACTTTATGTTTAAAATACTCTCATGTCCATTCTCATTTAGAGGTCCCCAATTCCAGTTCATCTTTTAAGTCTTTCATAGGTATCTCTTCTTGTAGGAAGACTGGTTTGGGTGTCCTTCCTCTCTTGGCATTCCTACAGATCTCTTTCTCAGAGCACATATCACTATATTGTTTTGTAACTGTTTACTTGTCTGACTCCTCAACAAGACCTGAGTAGAGGACCAGGTTGGGTTCACTGTCAAATCCCTGGTACCTAGCTTTAGTCCTAAAAAATATATTAGGTCCTCAAGAGTTCTTAAATGGATGAATGAAACCATCAAAGGGGTAAGAAGCCTAAAAGGAGGAATTCTAGGTTAAGTGGAGGTTACTACCTTATGTAATGCTAACAAAGGCCAAAAAGGCAGGTGGGCTTGAAGTATCCCTCTAATACCCCACTGATATTGCTTGTCCATCTCCAGGGCCCCTTCTACTTTTTTGAAGTGTTTTTGTTCCTGTGGCCCCTTGGTACGTGAGAATACGGCATGAATGGGACCAGCTCCATCGTAGTCCAGCGGTCTAGCAATCTAGGCTGAGTTATCTGCTTAGACCATGCATTCTCAAACCTAGTGTACATCAGAATCATTTGGAAAGCTAGTTAAAAATGAACAGTCCTGACTCATAGCCCCAGACTAAATTTACTAAATTTGTGATAAGTCTTGGGAGTTTGTATTTGTAATAAGGCCCTAGGTGATCCTGACACAGGAGGTCCATGTGAACCACACTTTTAGGTTTCATGGCTTAGGTCCTTGCAAACATCTATAGATGGTCCTGTAAAAGAAAAAGAGAGAAAACTGTTAACTCCTTCAATGGAATGAGGAAGCTAATTACATTAAAACTTGTAAGTCTCCATGCTATAATTGCCCAAATCCTATCACCATAACTAATCTGTAAGCTCCTTGAAGGTTGGGTGGTACCCAGCCTATCCATACATCCCACCAATCCCCTAACGTGTTACACATTGTAGAAATTTAAAGGGTGTCTTCTCATGATGTAAGTGGCCTATTTTTTTTTCTTTGTAGGTGAAATTGGAATCCTTTGTAGTGCCCTCCAGAAAATAAAGTGAAACCATGGACAAAACCTGTCAACTGAGAATCTGTTGCTGGAAATCTAACTACTTTCATTTCATCTGAAAAAGTTTGAAAAGCAAACCTTAATTTGAATTGACAGCCTTAAATGCTTTTTGGAACAAGATGGAGGATGAACAAATAAATCAAAATAACTTGAAATTACATCATATTAATACATACCCCAAAGCATAATCTTTTGGGGTCATCTTTGATTTAGAGATGGTAATCCTGTGCTCTCAATTCAGTTAAAATCAATAATCTGTCACATTTCTTCAAAGTTAATTAAAATTGGGACCTGATTTATTCAAGCTTCATATATGTTTTTGTTATTTGCCATAGAGAATTCCTAAAAGAATATATATCACTCAATGTAAAACACAAGCTTGTCATTAGAATTGAACTTGTTGATTTAGTATAAATCTTAACCTACAAAAGTCATTTTCTATTTCAGTAAACTGTGATTCTAATTATTGTGTTTTACCCATGTAGATTTCCTTTAATTCAAGAGCCCATTAAAATAGTTACAAAGGTTGAAGTTCATAGCATAATATTGAAGCATTTCTGTATATTTTATTGTAATCATAAATACTGCCATGGAAAGTAATATAACTCCTCACCTGACTCCCACAACTTTCAGTCGTTTTCCAATTAATTGTCATCTCTTCTGTAGATAGTTTGCAGACACATGTGATGCAACAGATGTTAACTGAAGGCTTGACTGGTAGATAGTCAATAATTACTCATTGAAAGAATAAGGGAATACATTATTAAATAGTAAATCCTCAACATAAGTGAGAATTTTATGTTATGTTAAGAAAAAAGTCTAGTGGTTAGAAAATTTTGCTGTTTCAAATGTTTCTTGGAAGGAAATATTCCTCTCCATTGCCTTAGAAATACATTAACTGGATAATCTTGTGACATGAAAAAATTATCAGTCTCAGATTTGCAACCCATTACAGGAGTTCACTGTGATAATCCAAGTTATGTCTGAAGAGTCAACAGACTGACTTCTGTTGGCTGTACATTTTACACAAACGCATGAGTATTTGAGAAACAGTAGGGAGAATAACAGTGTCTTTAAAGCTGTGCTTTGACATTTTCACTCTAACACTTTATTTTGGAAATAGTTAAATCTTAAAGGACTTGCATAGTATTTCTTCACATGTGATTCTCAGACCAGCTGTATCATCATCAACAATAAATCCTGGGCACATCCTGGTTCTATCCAACTAGAATATCCGGGGATGGAGCATTTTTAAGTACCCCAGGTGGGGTTTTTTGTGTGTGTGTGCCCAGGGAAGTCTATTGGGTACATTAAGTTTGAGAAAACTTGACTTCTGGTGGCCAGTTCTGCCAATTGCCAATTATGCCACCTTGCATAATTTACTTTGGATCTCAGTTTTACTTGAACAATGAAGGAGTTTAACTGGATGAATCAAGTTTTCTTCCAGCCTTGAAATACAATTCAAATGCTAACATGTGTCTTTAAACAGATATCCCTGACCCACTAACAGTGTGTAATAATACCAGCCCAAGTATGCTAGAACAATTTGGTCTGATTGTGTCTGAGATCTCATTGCTTTGAAGTTGGGTTTTCACATCTGTATTTATTTCCTCATGCCTCTGTAGAACCCACTGACAAACGCTGATTCTAAAAGTGGTAATGTTCTTTTATCTGTTTTTTAGACCCCAGACACGCTGCAAAGCGTCTATTTTGATAAATGTTTCTTTACTTTATATTAAATGTAAATTAGAGAAGTTCTTGATTTGGGAACTAAAATATTTTACAGTATTTTAGACTGGATATTTTATTTTGTGGTGCTTTTTAGTCTTACTGAAAATAATTTAGTGTGTTTGAAGTTAAAACTTAGGGGAGCAAGATGGCGGAGGAGTAGGAGACCTGGATTTCCTCTGGTCTCAGGAATTCAGCTGAATAGGGATCAAACCATTCTGAACACCTACGAACTCAACAGGAGATCGAAGAAGAGAGTAGCAGCAACTCTCTGAACAGAGAAGCGACCACTT